TTACTGTATGAAACATTAATCAAAAAAATTAAAAAAAACTTGCACTATATAATATATTAATTAAGAAACGTAATTAGAAGTTTCATATGTAGAAACAGCAATGGAAATAAATTAAAATATATCAGAAGTTGACATAGATACTCTGAAATATAAACGAGCAAAAGATCATTCAACGTGGTCAATTCGTTTTTCTGAGCTCATCTTTTACACAGAAAAATTTCTCAAAATATCCGCAAAGGTTGCTCGTAATTAAATGTTAACATCACCGTACACCGATAGCAAAATGAAATGCATTAACTGTTGAATGAAGTATGGTGAACAGTATAAAGATAGTGCAAGGCGCATTATCGTTTTATCACGTGCTAATGAGTGTGCATAATTTTACAAAGACATATTCTACCAGAGTGCTCTTAGATTGCTTTGCCAGGCTACGTAGTGCACATCAGTGACGTTTACTTTGATAGATACTTAATAACGCGTAAAATTCAAGAATACGAGGTTCTACTAACCGTTTTCTTTTATTATAGATAACAGGGGCATATACTGATTTTACAGCACGTTTACGCTCAAGCTTAACGATTAATAAAGTTTCTCTCGTATGCTCATTTTACAGTCATTGGCCTTTTTTACTAATTTCTTTTACTGATTCGCAGTGATAGAACATTCTTGACTTTTTTCTCACGAAAAATTGACGTTCCCTGTGATGAACTTTGATAAAGATGTTGAATTTAAAGATTTTGAAACTATTGGGTTCAATAGTGAGAACACGTTTCACGATACTAAATTCATTTGATGCATGTTCATTATCACTCAAAAATATAGAAATGTAGAAATTTGCTCATTTTTAATAAAATATTTATTAGACCGGCTACAATAACGTGGTTTTTCCGAATTTTCTTCTGAATAAATAACTTGTCAAAAAGTTTTATAAAATTAGAATAGATCAAATAAATAAAGCTGGGATTTTTGTTATTGCAATTATCTGTCTGAAGAAGAAAGCTTGTTAGAAAAATTTGTTTAAAATAGAATAAAATTCAAAATTAAATTTAAGTTTAGAATCTTTCGCCTATTATCCCAATATTAATTATTTCTTAAGCAATGCAATGAAGTACAATCTCTATTCAATATTTCATACTTTTATATTCTTCATACTTTTCATAGTTTAAATTTACTATTTCAGTCTACTTGGAATAACTATGTTTAAATTCAAACAAATCCGTAAAATTGTGAAAACTTTTTAAAATACTTTTTGAAATACAAAGTTACTTGTGGATTTTCTATGTAACGCGTAGCTTGGTATAAAACGAAACAAAAAGAAACAGTTCTCAAGGAAGTTCAAACAAACGTGGCACGCCGATGTTTTCAGACATTATCGAGATTGAGAGTGCCAACGGCAGAGGTCGTCGGGTTGGAGGGCGAGAACTGAGTGATTTAGTGGGGTGGCTACTCGACGACTGACCGAGATAACCTGCCTGTCCACGGAACAACCCCATTTGTCCAATGTCTTCCGCTACAAAACTGCTTGCCGCCCTCCAGGCTCGCGTCCTTTTGAATAATGATCGTGCTTTGTCAACTAACGGTACGCTGATAATGCCGGATATGTTGAATGTGCCAGAAGAAAATGTTGGTTGAACTCTTTGCATTACTTGATGCAATGTTCAACTGACGTCGTCCTGCTAATGCGAATTGTGACAGCAAGATTGACACCATTTTTCCCTTTAGCTCCACGAATATTTCAATCTTTGAATTTTTTCAGTCGCAACTCTTTCATCTTTTTCTTCTTGTATCTTTCATTTTCCTTTAGACCTTTTAGTGACTATTTCTCTGAGATTATTTCTATAATTTGAAATTGGAGAGTTTTTAATTGCTTCAAATATATATTTAAATATATATTATAAGTTTATATTAAAAATTGCCTAATTTGTTATATATTTTGAATATACGGTAAATTAGAAAACTTATCTGGTTTTTTTTTTTACAACGTACTGAGAACATTTGATAAATGTCAGACATTATCAAAATCTGAAGATATTAGACTTTATGTGAAAATGTAGAATAAAGGTTATTATATGATGTTCTGCTTCCGAGAAAATTAAGCTAAACAATTTAAATATTTAGACTTCAATATTTTTTTTATGAATTTCTGTGACCAGGCAAATTTAATATTCATATGTATACAGAATGAAACATATGTCATTGTACTTGAGAATCTCTGAACACTTCCCATCATTTATAATAAATTAATACAAAATCTTTCTTACCTATATCGATACATGTGTCTAAGTTGAACAGTCTGTAGAATATTTAGACTCCAATATTTTTTTACGAATTTCTGTAACCAAGCAAATTTAACGTTAACATGTTACTGTTTTTGCGTTTACGATTTGTACATACATAATGAAACATTATATACGTCATTGTACTTGAGAATTTCTGAACACTTTCCGTCATTTATGACGAAATTTAATAAATTCGCAAAGGTTTAACATAAAATCTTTCTTACCTGGTACATGTGTCTAAGCCAAACAATTTTACAAATATAATATTCACATGTTATAGCTTTTGCTTTTACGAATCCCACGTACAGAACGAAGCATGTGTCATTGCACTTGAGAATCTCTGAACACCGTTCCGTCATTTATGACGATTTAATAAATTCGCAAAGGTAAAAACGCAAAATCTTTCTTACCTATATCGATGCGTGTCTTTCTGTCAAAAATAGAAGCGAAAGTGCGAAATAAAACGAGACGATGAACTCGCGATTAGCGGATTACGTCTAACAGCGAAAGGATCACCGATCAACGCTCGGTCGCCATTGACACACTGGTCACATGATCAAGATTCGATAGTCGACTCCGTCGAAAAACACGAGTCGACCTATCCGGCCTGCGACACGATCGGTACATCAGAACGCGAGACGAACGTTATTATCATAGAAAGCCGCGGATCGAGCAAAGAATACAAGTCATCGAATAAATATATCGCGTCGGTTTTCGAAGGGGGGAATATATCGCACCTGGCAGAAGAATGAGATGGTTCAGGCACGAAGAAGAAAGGAAAGGCACAAGCGTAAAAGCTAAAGGCAAAGGCAAAGGCAAAGGCAGAGGCACAGGCAGAGGCAAAGGTAAGTAAAGGCAAAGGCAAAGGTAGAGGCAAAGCGGGCAGGCTGAAAGGACGAGCGGCGAACCTCGGCGCGGAGAAGAAACGAGAGCAAAAGAGAAAGAAAATCCAAGCAGACGAGCGAGGTGGGCCGTGGATTTATATCCCGGTCAACCACTTTGAGCCATCAGCGGCTCGTTTGAAGTTCAGCCGCGGCCGCGCAGACGTTATAAAGACAAACTATGCCTACGGCACCGTCATGCCCCACCACTTCATACCATAATTCTTCAGGCCGATCCCTGAAACGGCCACTCGATCTCCACCGGAGAGACGTACTGCCCTCCCTTTAGCTTTCGGTACTCTCGCGCGGCAGCGCGCGCGCACACACAGCACACACATACTCTACTTACACACACCGTAGGCTCGTTCGGAGGACGTGTACAGGACAGCGGACTTGGCCCGTCGGCCCCATCGCGGCCCTCTTCGACCCTCGGCTAGTCTCTCGCTCGCTCTCTTTCGCAGGTTTCCCTCGACTCGTTTCCTTTACGGTTAGTGCCCGAGGGTAATAAAGATGGTTCTGCTTATGTACAACCGGCAACTGGAGGCGGAGCCAGGCTGCCCTCTGTGGGCAGGACTAACGCAAATGACTCTTCCATGCAAGATGGCGTAGGCATACGGCGCGTAGTGCCGCGCCACGCCACGCCACGCCACGCCATGCCATGCCATGCCATGCCATGCTATGCTATGCCATGCTATGCTACGCCAAGCCACGCCGCGCGCTCTCTTCCGTCGATCCGTCCCGTTCTGCCCGCAAGCTGCTTTTATATTTAGCATGCAATGTGCGGCCTGCGCGCTCTCGCATCGCAGTAGAGAGTATAGACTTCGCTCTCTCCCTCTCTCTCTCTCTCTCTGCGTTCTACCGCGCGCATTCGCCGCATTCTGCCTCACATCTCGCACGATGCGACTTTGCTTCGCTTCGCTCCGATCTCTCACTTTTGACGAGAGAGACGTCTTTTCATAACTGATGAACTAATTAGCTCGGTCGCGTGGTCGCCACGGTCTGCCAATAAAACCACCGGTGGTTTCCGTCTATGCTTCGTTAGTTAGTCGAGTCACAGCTGTCGACAAACGCTTTTTTATCGACAGTCCTGTTTCTCCCACTTTGCTGTCTCGTGACACAGGCATGACATCTATGATCGTTCGAATCGCAGCAGACCTCGCGAGCCGAGTGTACGTCCGTTCGCCGTCAAATGAGAATAAAATGCGAGAAAGATGGAGAAGACATTTGCATAAATATACAGATAAATATACAGGTACGCGTGGTTGCTAGAAAAATATATCAAGCGAAGGTGAGAAAATAAAAAGAAAGAAAGAAATAATTAAGCATCAAGTTTGAATTACGCAGTACGTGCGTAAGAAAGATTAGGTTAGGTTAGTACACGGAGAAACGTCGAGACATGATTTTTCTAAACAAGCAATCGTTCGAACGATCTAGGAAATGTATCCGATAAAACGGGCGACAAGAGTTACAGGTTTTCCAAAGAAACGAAAGAAACACATCTGGATATCCCAGGCGAAACGCTAACGATTCTGTATACGTGGACGAACCAGGCACGACAGTCGTTCTCGCTTCGGGGAAGTATTTCGCGTCGCGGAGAAGCCAACTGACGTTTTTCTGACCGATCTCTGATATTCGAACGACCCAGGAACTCGCATTCCAAGTGCGGGACAAGCGTGTCTCGAATCGCTCGATGCGATTTTTCGTTGGCGGGAAGAACCTCGCCTGCCCGAAAGAGAGAGATGGAAAGAGTCGATCGAGCCTCGCTGCTCGAAGAAGTTTCCAGCTGCTAATGACGTTAAGGGATACGTATCCCTTCGATCGAAATTCCCGTAAATCTTACGCTGAAACCGCGTAACCATCCCGTCGATTCATTGATTCCGGTAAGGAAAAGGCAAGTTACTGAATAGGGGAACCCGTGATTGCCTTTACAAAGGAAACGGCTGCGTTGTACTACGATTATCTTGTAAGATTTATCGAGGTGGCTCAAATTACTGCGACAAGCTTTTTACAGGAAACACTGTGCTTGTTGCTGCTACCATAAGAAGATACAGTTTCAGCTAATCGATGTAACATGACTAACCAGTACCTGCACTCTATATACGTTCAACAATTAAACGTGCTGTTGAACCATTCCACGATATGATATTTCCCATTCTGTAAGGTTGTTCCATTTAAACTGAAGAATTAATAAGCCGATCACATTTCTATTTACAAATTATCTCTTATTATTTCTTTCTTTTCAGGAAACGTGATCTCGAGAAAACAGAATATTCGTTTGAGAAATATCTTTGACTCTCGTGTGAATTAAAAAATGGCACACAATTGTTTGCGACCGATTGGTAAGTACACTCGAAGAGAAAGTGGCCGTATTTTGGCCACAGTTTCGACTAGATTTCAAAGTGTACTGGTGTCTCGCACTCGCACTGTCTATAGTGGCAGCTAGCTATTCTTGCTTTCCGCCAGGCCCATTGTATCAACGTTGTACCGTAGTCAGGAAAGTAAGGTCGAGAGAAAGAGAAGCACACGGCACAGCGTAGGAAGGCCAAGACAGTTTTATAGAGACGAATTCTCGTCGTAAAAACGTCAGAGCCACCTCCGCAACTCCTGCCTGTCTTCACGAAAGCATTACGAGAGCCGGAGGATTCACAAGTTACCCTGTTACCCTTCCTCCCGCGCGTTTTACCGCGAGAGACGGACGACTCTTTTGCTTCCAGTCGCCGAGGCACCGAGAAGGAAGTAGCTACGTAGCGGCTAATTCGAAAAATGTTAAATTATCTTGCGCGTGTGGTGAGAAGCTCTCGCCGGTATAGAATCGTTTCCTACATTACATTGACCACGTACCATTTGTTTCTCGCAAATATGTACATAGTGGCCAGGTTTGAAAAACGTTTATCGCCTTACGTAAGTGATCTCTTGTAGAAGTGTGAGATGGATAGAA